AAATACACATCCACCAGTGCCATGACAGTTTACAAATGTCTGGAAGTTATTCTATATGGTCTAAAGCAGGAAGGAACCCTTAGTTCTGAGGATTGCCCACCCCTTTTTCAGAATACTCATGAATAATCTACCCTTTAGTTAGCATATGATCAAGAAATAACTAAGTATACTCAGTTGAGCCCATGCCACTACCGTGACTACAGAGTAGCCATTCTTTTGTTTCTTTACTTCTCTAATAATTTTGCTTTTACTTTATTCTATGAACCCGCCCCGAGTTCTTTCTTGCATGAGGTCCAAGAACCCTCTCCTGGGGTCTGGATCAGGACCCCTTTCTAGTAACACAGTGGGTTCATTTTGCTTGATTCCCAGATAGAGCCAATCTATCAAGGCAGAGGAACTGCAATGGGGAGAGACTTTCATTCCCAGCTGAATGAGAGACCAGAGTTTTATTACTCAAAACAGTCTCTCCACAAATTCGGAGACTAGGGTTTTTCTTTTCTTTCCTTTTTTCAAGAATAGTTTGGCAGGCAGGGGCCAGGGAGTGGGGAGCCCATTGGTTGGGTCAGAGATTAGATCTTATGGAGTTGAAGCTATCCTCTTGGGCTGAAGTGATTCCTGGGTGGGGACGACAGGAACAGTTGGCAGGTCTGAGTGGCAGTCATCAGAAATGCAAAAACCTGACCAGGTATGGTGGCACTTTGACAGGCTGAGGCAGGCAAATCACCTGAAGTCAGGAGTTTGAGATTGGCCTGGCCAACATGGTGAAACCCCATCTCCACTAAAAATAAAAAGATTAGCCAGGTGTGGTGGCACATGCCTGTAATCCCAGTTACTTGGGAGTCTGAGGCAGGAGGATCACTGCTCTCCCAACTCCTGGTCTCAAGCGATTTTCATGTCCTCAGCCTCCCAAAGGGCAGGGATTAAAGGTATGAGCCAACGTGCCTGGCCTCGTTTAATTTATTTCTATTTAGAATTGACCATTTTGCCTACTTTGCTAGCAGTTTACTTCAGGAATTGTCTCATTTTGCCAATCCTGGTATTTTCCTTATAGATCTAGACATGTTTGGCAGCATGCTCCAAGGAGCTATGTGTAATGTTCTCATCTCCGTGGCCATGCCCCAGACCAGGGAATGTAACAACGCCTCTACTGTGAAAATGTGGAAATATTCTTTCCAAATGACAATGACAGTTATGGCACTCATGTTTTCCACAGCTGTTCTTCCTCTTTTTTCTTCTGCTGGTTTTCTGTTTGTATTTGGTTTCCTACTATATCTTACTCTGGCTGGGTGAACATATGACTGGAGCTGTTTCTCCACCTTCCTGCACATGCGCATGTTACTGGGAAGGGGTCCCAATGCAGACTTCAAGAGAGAGTTCTTGGATCTACCACAATAATTCAGTCCATAAAGTGAAAGCAAGTTTATTAGGAAGGTAAAGGAATAAAAAATGGTTACTCCACAGAACAGCCCGGAGGGCGGCTGGTTACCCATTTTTATGGTTATTTCTTGATGATATGCTAAACAAGGGGTGGATTATTCATGCCTCCCCTTTTTAGACCATATAGGGCAACTTGCTGACATTGCCATAGCATTTGTAAACTGTCATGGCGCCAGTGGGAGTGTAGCAGTGAGGATGACAAGAGGTCACTCTTGTTGTTATCTTGGTTTTGCTGGAATTTATCTGGCTTCCTTATTACAACCTGTTTTATAAGCAAGGTCTTTATGACCTATATCTTATGCTGACCTCCTATCTCATCCTGTGTCTAAGAATGCCTTAACCTCCTGGGAATGCAGCCCAGCAGGTCTCAGCCTCATTTCACTCAGCCCCTATTCAAAATGGAGTTGCTGTGGTTCAAATGCCTCTGATACCACACTATCCCCTCATCCCAACCCTGCACTCCAGCCAGAGTGACCCCAGAGTGCCCTGAACCCAGCTGGTACCTATTGAACACTATTTAATGAAATATCACACATTTGAGAAGGATAGGAAGGAAAAGTGAAAAACATCTATTATTTTATTTTATTTTTTGAGACAGAGTTTTACCCTTGTCACCCAGGCTGGAGTGTGGTGACACAATCTCAGCTCACTGCAACCTCCGCCTCCCAGGTTCAAGTGATTCACCTGCCTCAGCCTCCCGAGCACCTGGGATTACAGATGCATACCACCAAGCCCAGCTAATTTT